GCTCTAAGAACCGCTCCACCTATAGAGCGGCGCTCCACAAGAGCCGAACGGAGCGGAGCGGAACCGCCCCATCCCTAGTTCTAGAACACTAAAAAAGAGTATTTATATAAGAAAACGCTGGGTATTTTTTTAAAGGTAAATTAAATGATAGTTGAGATAAGCTATAAAATGTGTGTAAAAAATAACTGATAAATAAACTCTCAAGCAGTGGCTTAGAAATTTATAAGTCTTATCAAGAGAACGAGTTATCGGATTTCATGCGACTTTTGAAACTTAAAATATTCATGAAATAATAAAAATATTAATGTATTATTCGTGATAAATCATCAAATGATTATAACTGATGGAGGTAATAAAATATAAATGTAGCTCACAAATGAGAATGCTCTCTTCCTTCTAAATTTACAAAATGAGATAATAAAATGATATATACAATTGATGACATAAAAATGAACAATAAAGATAGTCAGATATTTTATTACAAATAATATGACGGAATATTACGAATAAAAAATTATTAAATATACATTAGCCCACATCAAAAAAGTAATGGTTTTGTTTGCCAAGTTCCTTCTCGTGCATTAATTAATCGGAAGAGTAATATTTTTTTATTTATCAAAAGAAATTATTAATCGAAAAAAGTAATGGTTTATTGTTTGCCAAGATAACTGATAGAAAAAGTAATTGTCTCCATTAATTGATCAAAAAGATAATGGTTCTTAGAATATAATAGATAATAATGCTTCACGACCAAAAAAAAAAAAGATATTATATTGATTTTTTCTTATTCTCGACCTCTCGAAATAGAAAATTCCTTCCACAAAAATCAAGTTTAACAAAAGCTGATTTTCAACATCTCCTCAACATCAAAATCAACATGCCATGCCGACTTCTCTCTTCCCTTCCAGGCATGATCACATCAGAGTATTTATCACAACGCAACCAACTTCGTGAAACTGCAAATTCCTTTTTATAGATAAAATTACCAACAATTTATGTGTCTCCTGAATTTAATTGCAAGTTGGCATGTTATAACTGCAGGATTCGACAATTTCCCATTTGAACGTGATAATGTTTATGGATGACCCATTGCATCTTTATGTTCAATAGTACCCATTTCTCTGAGTTTTTGAGGTTACATTGAATAGTACGAAGGGGAATATTTGTTTTTTGGTGTATTCATAAACTCCATTCAACCAATAATGTAAATTTGTTTGATGTTGTGCTTCGAATTCTGCATTGACTAGGTTTAAAAGATAATTAATGATAAGCAAACATACAAATATAGTAATATTTCACATGTGATTTCTCGCAATTTCGCAATATAAATTATACACTCACATACCATAAATGTCTGGGGTAAAGATGTTAGCCGAAATTATTTCACTTAGTAAATGATCGTCACCAAATCCGAAATGCCGAAATATTTTTTCATAGTAATAGTTGCCGATAGGGTTGTTAACGGAACATAATGGGTTGGGTTGGGTTCATATTATTGTGGAGCAAGGGTTGACCCAACCCAATGTACTGGGTTAATACTCCATGGGTTGATCCGGGTTGCTCCATGGAGTAATAATTATAATTATAATTCTCATTTAAAAAAAAATTATACCGATTTTTAAATTATAATGATTTTAAAACTTGCATAATATCAAATATAATTATATTTTTGGTTCCAAATTTAATTTCCTTTTTATTAAATGTTTAAAAATTGAATAATAATTGTAAAAGTTTTAATAAGAGTAAAATTTTACTTAAATTTTCAAAAAAAAAACTTAGTTTTACCGATTATAAATTATGTTATATAAAATATAAATTACCAAGTAAGACAACCATCGCTTGCAAGCACACCAGTTCTGAGAGGTGCCTTTTATTTTTAAATAATTAGTGAGAAATTAGATAAATCCAAATCTCAATTCACAGTTGATGGTTATTAAAATAGTAGTCAGCAATTAATTGATTGATTAATTCTTTATTTTACCCCATAATGTGTACAATTGGTACCAGTAGCATAAATTTGCCCATTAATTCTTGACAAGAGCACTTTAAATTCACCAACTGGTACTTCTTTCCTGAAATAAATTACACAATCAAAAATTTTAAATATATCTTTAATAAAACAAACATGACTTAGCTATTTAATTATTTCCTTGTATGTGAATGCCTCCATCCATCAAATATTCATGATGATCATGATTATTATTCAATATATTTGATGTTATAATTGACATAACAAACAATTGCATCACCCAGGTAGTAATAATGCCAAGGCCATACATAAATGAAACTTTTAATAATTCATATCTATCCAGATCTCTGGGATTCACAAGAATAAATAAATAAATAGGATCAAAAAAATATTATAGTTTCTTATGAATAATAAATCTGATGTTAATTGCAGGTGTCAGATTTAATTAAAATTTCCTATTACAAACATGCACATTAGTGCTTCCGCACGCTTCATAATTGTGAATTTTTTTCCACAAGTGTAGCCACCTACATGCTGGAAGGCTTTGGACAAAACTTCTCCCTATCTTTCTCAGACCAGGCTGGCTGTTGCTATATGAGCATTGATAACTGATAGCTGGTACTTGTGTAATGATTGCTTTGTGTTATTCCAATCTGTAGCATAAATTCAGTGATTGTTTTGTGTTCAAAAATTTCCAACTTGGAAGGGTTGCAGTGTTGAATTCGGAGTTTTGAGTTCTGGGTGACCTCCTGTGCTTGAACAAGCTGCAGATTCTCTTAATATTCCTCCAGGTTGTGACTTGGTGACAGAACCATCTTATCCTAGAGGTAGGATCGTTGCAGATGACTTTTTGGCTAGCATGCCAGTAGCCTTCTCTGGTCTGGGAAGATATTAAGTGTCATTGACAATTGATGCATTCTTGATAGTGATCACAATCATCATAT